GGCCGCGTAGTGACGGCCCCGACCACTGCCGCTCGACCTGACCGGAGAAAACCGTAGCAGGAAGCTAGCGAAGTCGTAGTATATATCGTCAAATAGAACTGCCCGGTAATATATATATATATATATATCGTCACAAACAGAACTGCCACACAACTTTCTCGGGTATGGGTTGTACCACTACGGGTCGGAGCTTCACCTCCGCTGGCAGGCACTGCTCCGGTATATATATATGTGCACGACGCGCCTCAAGTACTCTAAATATTTTCGTGAAACAGCCCAAAAACGAATAACGATGATCAACTACCAACCCGCCGAAGCAGATAAATGAGGGAAACAAGGAAAACCCGCTATCGGGGCCGTTCTGCCTCCTTGCCGGTTAACCTTGCTCAATAACTTGTCGTGTTACAACCTACAGGAGAACATAACCAATATTGAGAAATGAAAAAGGACATCAACCACCCTTCCATGGTCGTTCCGCCTACACTACCTTTTAGGAGGAGAGAGAGGAGGAGGAGAGGAGAGAGAGCAGAGAGGAGAGAGGAGAGGAGAGGAGAGGAGGGGAGGAGAGGAGAGGGGAAGGAGGAGGAGGAGGAGGAGGAGGAGGGGAGAGGAGTGTAAGGACGATCGACTACCACCCTACCGAAGCAGATAAACGAGGGAAAGAAGGATCCCGCTATTGGGGTCGTTCAGCCTATACCCCAACACTCTCTTGGCAAGATAATCGTGCCAGTTAACCTTGCTCAATAACTTGTCCCGTTACTTCCTTACCGCTTATGTGCTTGTGATCCTCCTTCGTAACCCGTTTGCGGGGGTCAACCACCACTCGTCCTCCTCCTGTCTCACCATCCGTCTTCCTCGTTGTGACTCACTGCCTCATTCTCTATTTGACAACTGTTTTTTACCACCACACTATAGCTCTCCCTCATCCGTATACTGTAGATCGACCCCCGTTGCCGTCCATAAGGTACTTTGTTAGTGTGTTACATACACTGTACTATCACTCTTCTGTTCTCACTTGTTCTTGGTTACTCTTACACTTCTTCTTCTTCTTCGTACCCATTCTCCAGGGCTCTCTTACACTCACCCTCTACCTTCTCTCTCCACTCGTCCACTTCGTATCGCTCCTTCACCTCATAGGTCAGAATACACTGTTGTTCCTCTGCTCATGATCTGGACATCAACACCTCTGCTTCCCCTTCTCCTTTGCGCCTCTCGCCCTTCACCCCGTTTCAAACAGTTCGTTCCGCTCCTTCGACTTCTTCTACGTAACCACTACACCGATGAAGAACAAGCTGTCGTTCTACAGTTCCTTTATTCGTGCTTTACGCAAACTGGTCTTCCACATCTCTGTTTCTCCTACTTCCTCACACCTTTCGCTCTTCGCTCCGCTTATACAGTACGCTACAACTACACGTCCACACTTCCCACAACCTCGCTTCACTCTTCCGCCCCGTTTTGTCGTTCGGTTTCACATTGCCTACCTTCGTTCTTCGTGATGACGTAACCACCTCCACGAGTACGACCTCTCGTTGGGTTGTTACGTTTCTGAGAACAAATCAGTAACGGCGAGGCCAATCACCACACATCCATGCTTACGAGTATTCAACAAACTGCATGGACATTAAAGCTCACAAACGCGCACATCCCCAACGCGTTTCGCCTGGCTGCGCTCCAGGGCTTATCAAGGGGCAAACCACACTCCCGCATCCACCTATCTGTCCGCCTGAGCTCTGAGGGCCGTTTTGGCCTTGCCCTTTATGTATACTGTACTTGTGCCAGTCTGCACGTTCCTCGTGTGTCCAACAACCCGGCGTAGGCACTCCCTACACTCAGCGTAACAGAACGGGCTTGCCTTCACAGTCTTCCGCCAGGAGCCTCACGTGTGCGCCTATACTGCGCCCGGTGTGCCCGTTGAGCACGTGTACCGGTTCCCGAGGAAGTTTTTGATGCTAAACAGTTCTACAGGGCATGATGTCGTCCAGGTATGTCCCATTTGTTTTCTCTTTTTCCGGTTCCTGTCGGGTGCGCGCGCCTACCTGGTTTTTTCTCTCCCTCCCTTGCCTCTCAACCGGCCTGCTATCTGCTACCCATGCGTACTATCTAATAGTTGCTGCTGCTAACACCCTTACCCGGTACTCGTCTCTGCTATTCTTTTCCCGCTGTCTATTAACCCAGTCCCGGTCCTATAACTCTGCTATCAGGGTTTTTAGACTCATGTATCTACTGCTAATTCCAGCCACATCCCTTCTATGGTACATAAATTACAGTCCGGTATCCTATTGCTAATTCTACACACGTCCCTGCTATGGTACATAATATACAACCCGGTCCCATGTACCGAGGCGTTCCCGACTCCCGTCGTGTTTCTTCCAGGTCACACCCTTCCCGGAGTGCTGCTCCGTTTTCCTCATGCTGGTCTACGTCTTGCGAACTGAACCAGTCCTTCAACGAGCATCTGCCATGCTTCGCTGAAGGTGCTGGTAAGAAGAAGAAGAAGGAGAAGAAAAGGAAGAAGAGGAAAAAGACGACGATGAAGAAAGAGAAGAAGAAGATTGAAAAAAGGATAATTTCTCTCTCTCTCTCTCTCTCTCTCTCTCTCTCTCTCTCTCTCTCTCTCTCTCTCNTCTCTCTCTCTCTCTCTCTCTCTCTCTCTCTCTCTCTCTCTCTCTCTCTTGCAGACACACACGCCCGCGCGCAAACCCTAACATACACACACCTTCGCTGACGTGGAGGAACACGATTGTGGAACACGACGACAACACACGAGAGCGCAAGCAGCGACGAAAGCACGACGCACACACAAGCACTGTTGGACGGTCACTGGCACTGCAGATTGCTACGGCGCAGGGGCGATTCTAACATGGCGGCAAGGCACAGCGGACGCGCGGAGTACCATTCTGGCTATCCAGGAACAGGCCACCCCCACGACGCAGGCATGCACACACGGTCGCTGCCAATGGCGATGGTGGCGCAGAGGGCTCATTCACAGCGGCAACGAACAACAAACTCGCGAAGGACGACGGAGCAGGGAATGCGACGCAGGCACGCACACACGGTCACCGCCAACGGCGATGGCAGCACGAGGGTCTCGTGCACGGTGACACGGGAAGCACCGGACGGGGAGATTGCGGCCACGGCGGCTGCGTGACCAGGCCAATGAAACCCTACAGGACCGTCACCTGTTTCCACAACCGAGTTTCAAGATGCAAAAAAAAAAAAAAAAAAAAAAAAAAAAAAAAAAAAAAAAAAAAAAAAAAAAAAAAATAAAAAAAAAAAAAAAAAAAAAAATTTTAAACATTAAAAAAAAAAAATTTAAAAAAAAAAAAAAAAAAAAAAAAAAAAAAAAAAAAAAAAAAAAAAAAGACGGTGAAATATATTATACGAACTCAAACACCAGATGGGAAATGAAAAAAAAAAAATCGCCAACAATTCACGAAAACGTTCCTTTCCCGCCGACGGGGCCGGCCACGCATTGCTCTTCTCTCAATTTCACCTCACACTACCTACCTACCACTACTACTAATTGTAGGCATACAGGGAGCCCCGTAGCAGCCAGAACCGTGTTTCCCTTATGCGTCATTGCCCCAAGCACAAAAAAAAAGGATAAAAGAAAAAGAGGACGTTACCCACCCTTTTCAGTGCCAGGAATAGGGCCTGGCATCCCTTACAAAAAGTTCCGTGGTCCTGATTTGGGGCGAGACATCACCAGTCAAGCCCAAAAACTGGACCGCTACACACCTCAAACTCTAGGCCTGTAAATATCGTAATCCCAACCCAGTCAGGTCGTTTTCTGTTTTGGATTGATGGTTGAAATGATACCCACTCCTAGTCGTTGATCAACAGGTCGTTGGCTCGACTCCGTCACGGATAAACAGGTCGTTTTTCGAATCCCGCCGAATGTACGCAATGACTTCGCGTCGTTTAGGGGCTGACGCCCTCCGAGGTTGGAATAACGAAACCCTCCATGACATACAACCCCCAAACCAACTACCATCCAACCTTCACCCCCCATGCCGAGGTCAGCAAGCAAAAAAGCAACGGCAGAAGTCTTCGGATGGGACGGGGTGGGGGGGCTAAGACTGAGTTTCGAGTACGCACAGGTTCCTGCCATCCGATCTGAACATCTTATGGCACTGTGGCCACGTTGAAAGATACTCACAGCAGGACTCTCCTGGACGTAATGGCCGCTTTTCCGACACCGCTGGATGCACCTGACGGCAATTGCGTCCACAGAGAGGTGGGAAAGTCCTAGTGTGAGGGGTGGGGGGTGGGGTACCTGTCGACCACCTGGCTGACCGTAGAGAGGACGGCGCCGGCTGCAGCAGGCTGTGTTGTGTTGCCAGCCGCTGCCTGCCGGATGATGATGATGGTAATGGTAGTGCTGTACAGATCCCGACGAAGATGAACCTCACGGTCGGTCAAACTGTTATGCAATTAATTTGGTCGGCAGGAAGCTGCGAGGAGGGAGGAGGGAGGGGAGGTGGAGGGAGGAAGGTGGATTAGTGTAGTGCGGCCCGAGTCTTGAGGGGGATAACGATAGCGGTGGTGGAGGTGCGCCTGCGAGCGGTGAGGGTACACACACACGCACACACACACACACACACACACACACACACACACAGAGCGCTATGGCCAGTAATCAGTCGATGATAGGAAAAGAAGTGGAGACGAGGGAGGGCGGATGATTTTTAATTTTCTTTTCCATTTTTGCGTGTGTGTGTGAAGATCGAGGGAATCTCAAGCAGAGAAGAACGGGATCCAGGTTGAAGGAAGCGGGATCTGCAAGGGAAGAAGACCGGGATCTGTACGGAAGGAAGAGCGGGGTACGGAAGACAGTGCCGATGGCGCGTGCTGCGGAGGGGCAGTGCCGTGGGATCTCTGAATCATCCGCCAAATAGGAGCTAGGTGAAGAACCACTACTTCTCCCTTGCACTTCGGGTCCCACCCTCTCGCTCCTCTTCCTTCCTCTCTTCCCCCACCCTTTGGGCCTCGCTCCACCACTGATCGCATGTGCAAAACGAGAAAGAATCTTCGGCCAGAACATGGGAAGATGCACCACCACAATTTTTGTCTTTTGTGCATGCGGCGCCCTCGAGCTTTATCGCTGCCGTCTCCTGTTATCCCCCCCTCCCCTCCCCCCACCCTCTCCTAACTTTCTCCCCCTCCTCCTCGACATAGCCTTCTCTCTCTTCCCTTTTTCCTCCCATCACCGCCTTCTCTCGTCCTCTTCGCCTGTCTTGTTCTCTTCTTCCCACTCCTTTCGTCCTCCCTCTGCTTGCTTCCCACTTCTCCTTTTCTCCCTTCTTTCTCAATTGCGGCAGAGGCTCGCCAGCTGTTCCCTCCTTCGCGCCTCTACCCATTTCGATCATCAGAAGCGATGATATGATGCTATACGCTCGGCGTTTCTTAGGTGGAGCACATCCGTTATGTGGCGTTGGAGTTGCAATATCAGTATTAGAAGATTGTGGTGGTATGTAAAACCAGGAACTTGAGGGTGCAAAGATTTCGAAAACTTGATTAGATCGAACATTAAATCCCTGGACACTTCCTGTGGTAGGCGGGAGTTGTCACTATGTCGTAGAGTAAAATCTGCGTTGTGCAGATGCATAGACCCCTTCTGCTTTCCACTTTCTCCATTTCTTCATCTACTCAGATGATTCTCTCTCTCTCTCTCTCTCTCTCTCTCTCTCTCTCTCTCTCTCTCTCTCTCTCTCTCTCTCTCTCTCTCTCTCTTGCTCTCTGTTTCTCTCTCTTGCTCTCTTCCCACTTTCTACTTTTCTACCTTCTTCTTTTGCCTTGCATTGTCGTTCGTCATCTACTCGGAAGACTCTCTCTCTCTCTCTCTCTCTCTCTTGCTCTTTTCCTACTTTCTCCTTTTCTCCCCTCTTTCTGTGCCTTCCATTGTCGTTCGTCATCTGACGGATCTCTCTCTCTCTCTCTCTCTCTCTCTCTCGCTCGCTCCCTCGCTGGAGCGAGCGATTTTTTTTTTTAATAAATTTATTTCGATTTCAAAGATCAGGTATCGATGATTGACCGTCTCGTTGCGTCGTTGAGATCAATAATTGGCTTTGACTTCTTTTCTTTTTTTCTTCTCATTCTTTGATTGGCCGGCTTTTCTTCAATGATTTGTCGGGATGGATGCACACAGGCATCCCCGTATTCATCGCGACACCTCCCCGCGTTCCGGTTCCTTTGCTCTAAGAAGCTAATCGAAGGTGGACGAGTCCATTCGGGCGAATCTTCTTCTGTCTAGCAGGCGAATCTTCTGCTTTCTCTCAGAAGTATCTTCTTTCCAGCAGGCGAATCTTCTCCTTCTTAGCCGATGTATCTTCTTCTTTCTAGCAGGCGAATCTTCTTTTCCTAGCAGGCCAAGAATCTTCTTCTTTTTAGCTTGCGGAATCTTCTGCTTTCCAGCAGGCGAATCTTCTTCCCTCTGTTTTTTAGCAGGGAATCTTCTTCTTTCTGGCTGGCGAACCTTCTTCCCTCTACTGTAGCAGGCCGAAAAATTTCTACTTTCCGGCAGGCGAATCTTCTTCTGTTTCGCACGGGAAGCTTCTTCTTTTCTACGTACCACTAGGAGGAGAGTCGATGCATCCATTATCTTCCGTGGCATCCAAATTATTATCAAATTATTAATTTACTATTTTCGCGATCATCGTCATCATTATCCAAAAAAAATTATCCTTATCCATTCAAATTTGGAGTTCGCGATCCTTAGTCTTTTTTTTTTCGGAAGTTTTTTCCTGGTTTCTTTTTTATTTTTGGAATAATTGTCGCTCGTTATCCATAATCATGTTTATCTGACTTGATCGGGTGTCCATCATCGATTTCCTCTACCCTGTTGTTGCGTGTAAGGCGAGACCGTCACGGGATCGCGACCCACGACTGATCCCTAGGCTCTCATGCTAGCCAACAGCATAGCAGCTACTCTGTCGCCCTTCGTTCTGTTGTTCCTTTGACCGGGGGCAAGGTCCCACTACAGTAGCAAAGAGGATTGAATTGAACGCCTGAATCTGGACGTGTTTGTCGAAAGTTGCAGAAAATCGAGATTGAACTACTTTTCTGCATCTCTGCGTAAACACGTCCAGATTCAGGAGCTCAATCCAATCACTCACTCTTTGCTAGTGGGACCTGCCCCCGGGTAAATTAGATAGTAGTTGCTGCTATTTGGTTATATGCGAACGTAAATGGGCAGGCCCTAGCGTGTTCCCGCCAAAATCAGGACCCCGTTTTTTTTTTTCCAATTGGGTAGGCCCTACCGTGTTCCCGCCAAAATCAAGACCCCATTTTTTTCTTCAGTTTAGAAAAACTCGCCTAAGTTAGGGCAACGACGAAGCGATTTAAATGATTGTCGAAGGTAGAAGCTTCTTGGACCGGTTGAAAGGGAAGGAAAAAATAAAAGGAGAAGCTTCTTGGACGGTATAGATTAGGATCTGACGTCTTGCGAATCGATACAGTACGGAAAGGTCTCCTAGCACAGGCTGGACGACGGCCTCACTGCGCACTGCATCAATCCAAGCCACGGAACACAATTTGGATCGCCTATGGCATAAATTGGTGGTGCGCACTACATCAAGCCAAGCCAAGCGAAGCCAAGCCAAGCCAAGCCACGGAACATTTTAGACAGACAGCCTAAGGCATAAATGGGTGGGGACCACAAATATCGGGCGTGCTCTCACCTGCCTTCTTTCACCTGCGTGCTTGGTGGGGACCACGGAAAATCGTGCGTCCTGCTCCCACCTGCGTGCTGCTGCGAGCATCATGTCCTCCTCTCACCTGCATGCTTTCCCCTGCGTCCTCTCCCCTACCTGGTGGGTACAACAGAAAATCGTGCGTCCTGCTCTCACATGCGTGCTGCTGCGTGCATCACGTGCTCTCTCACCTGCGTGCTCTCTCCTGGATGCTTTCACCTGCGTCCACGGAACAATTTAGGCCGCCGAAGGCATAAATTAGCGGGGACCACAGAAAATCGTGCGTCCAGCTCTCACCTGCGTGCTGCGAGCATCATGTCCCCTCCTCTCACCTGCGTGCTTTCACCTGCTTGCTCTCGCCTGCGTGTTGCTCTCACCCTCGTGTTGCTCTCACCCACGTGCTGGTCTCTCACCTGCGGGCTTCCTTCGTCCTGTCGAGAGCATCCACCTGCC